AGTGTCAGGCTGTTCTCCCTGGGTGGGGGCTGAAGGGGAGAGTTGTTCTCCCTGAGGGGTGGTAAGGAGAGTGTGAGGGGCTGTTCTCCCTGGGTGGGGGGCTGAAGGAGAGGGCTGTTTTCCCTGGGGGGTGGTAAGGAGAGTGGGGAGGACTGTTCTCCCTGGAGTTCCCTCCTCCACTCCCCCCTAGGCAGTTTTGCTGGTCACCAGGAGGAGAAGAACAAGAATCTGGAGGTCACCCAATACCTGTATAAAGGAGGAAATAAAGATTGCTCTGACGTGCCAGCTCAGACTCATTTAGGCTTCAGTCTGACACAGCGTTCCTCCTCCTCCTCCTCTCCCTTTGGCTTTCTCCTGCAGACTGAAGATTTACTGCGTGCACGAGTCCTTCAAACCTCCCTCGTCATCTTTCCCAATCACTCACTCTAACTCTTGCGGGCGAGCACCATCTTTCATACGGAGGGAGAGAGCCAGCGAGGGCAGGTACGGCAGTAGAAGGAAGGGAGATCCTGGCTTAGGGGAAGCCACAATGGTTCTGACGCTTAGAGAGAATTAGCACTGCCTTGAAAGACAGCTGAAAAGGCAGAGAGCCGAGAGAGGAGGGCAAGGGAGAGTGGTATAACAGGTTGACGAATCCCAGGAGTTGCAATGGATTCCTGCGATCCAGGGAACTGATGGAGCACTGTGCCACACACCTATGCATGAATGCTCCTGAACACGCCAGCTTGGCCAACAAGCAAACTCCTACATCCAGGGGTCTCTTGACTCCCCAGTTGTTTGCATCAGCAAGGGTGTGTGGGGAAAGAGAGCCAGAGGAGATAGGACCCTGCATTGGGCCATGAAAACTTCTGCATGGCCCACATCAGTGATGCCCAATGCAGGCAGGGACAAGGCATAAACCCAGCTGCACAGGCAGCCTGTATACCCCAGCACATGGCCGTGAAATTACCACACAAGGCATCGGGATGATGCTTACAGCAAAGGTCTGAGGACCTGCCTGCCTAGCTAGGCTACAGAATTCAGGGCAATATCACCGAGACTCGGCTGAGCACACTGCTCATTTGCACTGCTGAGCACCAGCGTCTTGGCACCAACGTCCATGTGCTCCTACCCGAACCACACCCAGACAGCAGCCATAAGAGATGACTGTCCAAGCAGACACACGTCAGGGGGGCAATTTCCCTCCAGCAGGATGTCTAGGCCCCCTATGTGAGGCCCTTGAATGGCATGCAAAACCACGATAGCCATGTGAGTTCCTCAGGGTCAATCTAGGTAGGTAAGACCCCCTTTAGTAAGGCACCTATGTTTGACAACTAGGCTCAGAAAATGATACATCACAAAGGAAGGGGAAAACTCTGAGGAAACTAGGGCTCCTCTCACTTGGCCTTTTCACCTGCGCCTCCCCATTCCTCACACTCCCACAGCCCCTCGCTGCTCTGGGATCCCAAGGGCACTGCCTTTCACTTCTGCATGCAAAGGCATAAAAGCATTTCCTCCTGCTTTAATGCTTTTCACCCGTTTGCTGCCTTTCCCTCTTCTCCACCTCCGTCCCAGCGTAACCCTATAGCTCCAACGGAAGAGATTAATCCCATAAAATCCCCCCCGGGGTCTAAGATTTTCCTGTTCCTGATAAATCCATCTCCCCTCTTCTGCTTTTCATCTCTTTTTGGACCTGTAAAGTGATCCCTGGTCTCCCTCACATTCCCCCAGACTTCCAGGCCCAGTGCAGTGAAACCCCATCCTCCACCCCAAGCCAAACTGCAAGCGGGACCAGGAGGCATGGAAGGGATCTGCTAAGAAATTGAATGAACACACACACACACACACACACACACACTCACTCACCATGGGTGGGAGACCAAGTTGTAAAAATCTACAAAACCTTCACCTCGTCTCAAGGGAGAACTGGTGTAAACATCAGGGCTACGTCTACACTGGCCCCTTTTCCGGAAGGGGCATGTTAATTTCACTTTGAAGTAGGAATAAGAGCCTCCGGGAAAAGGGTGCTTTTTCCGGAGGATCGGGGCCAGTGTAGACGCTCTTTTCCGGCTTTTTTAAAAGCCGGAAAAAAGCGGCGGACATTTTTATTTAAATGCCACGGGGGATATTTAAATCCCCCGCGGATTTCCCTACTACGATAGGTGAAATTAACATGCCCCTTCTGGAAAAGGGGCCAGTGTAGACGTAGCCCAGAAGAGGAGAGAAGAAACCTCCCTTCCCTCTACCCCACACCTCCTTGATCTGGGGGATTCCCAATCCTCAGTCTGAAGCAGGAGCAAAGCAAGCAGCAGCTGGGAGACCCCTCTCTGGGATTCCGCACCGCAGGACAGCTGTGCAGCTCCCAGGCTGGCTCAGACCCTGCATAGATTTAACACCCAAGGCCTTAAAAGAGACCTGGGGAACCCAGAATTTCCCTGTGAGGCTGGGAGCTGCTGCCCTGTGAGCTGCTGGAAGTGGTGCCACTGGGCTTGGAAATCGCCTTTGGTCCCAGCCCCACTGAAAACTACAGAATGACTGGGGGGGAGGGGTAAGAGGGAGGTTCTCAGGGCTTTTCCGAAGCTCCACAAAGTCTGGGGGCTGAGTTCAGGCCCCAGGGAGCACTGCAGCAATCCCATCTCATGTCATGGGAACTGGCTGTTCACCCCATTCCCCAAGCCACAGCCTCCATTTTGCTTCTATGATAAAATCAGGCTTGGATGATCACAGTAAAGGCTCTGGGGTGACCAACCATCCTACTGGCCTTGCTTCATCCCCGACAAGGCTGATTTCAGGCAAAGCAGGGCAGGTTTCTCCATCACTCTGCCAGCTGGCCTGCCTCACCCCAGGCCTGCAGGTGCGCCCACAAAAGACAGTCCCCAAAGCCCCACCAGCGCTCGGCTTCTGTGCTGCGCTTGCCCAGACAGAGGAATGTGAGAACCAGCTGTGGTGGCCGCAGCACAGACACCTGCCCGCTGGGAGACCCACCCACTTCATTTCACACAAACCACCAGAGCCACAAGCTGGGAGCCATTTTGTTGAGCTACAGACCCAGAAGCCAACAGCTCCATGACCCTGGTCCCAATTCACTGAGTCGCCTGGTCCACCATTCCCGACGGTGGGGCAAAAGGGGGGTTGAGTCCTTGAAAAGAGGACATTAACAGACACCTGCCCGCTGGGAGACCCACCCACTTCATTTCACACAAACCACCAGAGCCACAAGCTGGGAGCCATTTTGTTGAGCTACAGACCCAGAAGCCAACAGCTCCATGACCCTGGTCCCAATTCACTGAGTCGCCTGGTCCACCATTCCCGACGGTGGGGCAAAAGGGGGGTTGAGTCCTTGAAAAGAGGACATTA